GAGCCTGATACAGCAAGCCTATTAACTCAGGTATATCTTGACTGTGTTAAAAACCTAAACAGAGTTGGGTTAGGATCTGGATATGAGGCCCTCTATTTCTACAGGCAATACATAAAAAAATAAGAAATAAAAACCCCAAATTATACCAACAGATGACAGTGACAAATTCTTTCTTTATTGTTGCTAGGAGAGTTTCGTGGATATGTTCTGAAGACACCTAAAGTCAAGCTTGACTGAAAGGAGATTTTACATAGAAAAGTTTCATTTCTCCTTCCCATACGACCTATCCATCCACTCCAAATATTATAGATCCAACTTAGACCGATGTTAGCCCTCCCAGTAGAACAGACAGGCAACACAGTTAGATCAACATAACTTCATTTTATAGAAAGGTTATAGATGGAGGGTGTGAAACTGGTGGTGTCACAGCGGCATCATGTGATGTATCAGGATTTCTCCCCCTTCACTAAATTGGGCGGGGGTGGGTCCAGCACGTGATGCATCTGGCCCATGAGTTTGACACCCCTGCTATAGATTGACAGAATCTTGCAAGTTTAGTAATACAAATCACCTGCTGTCTCTTTTATAATCTGATAGTTTAGGGACATTTCTTTTTGAAGTTTTTTTCCCCTGCCCAGTAAACAGCTAAGGCCTCTCTCCTCTGATTGTTCCCTAGGCAGCATCTCTTCCCCGTCTCCCAAGGTCATCCCAACTGACCATTATAACATACAAACAGCATGTAGGCGAAATGACAGTCTGAAATAAAGAGGTTTGATTATACTCTACACAACTGACTGATAAATTGTCTGCAGGCTCTTCTGAAATTCTATTACAAAGAATCCAAGCAATATGCAATCAATTGCCATTTGACACGGCTAACACTGCATAAATTCCCAGTCCTAGGCATGCAGTTGCCAAAAGTATGTCTTGTTCAGAAAGGTCAAATGTATGAGAAACACTACATATAAAAAATGCAATCTATCCTATCAGAATTGTCCTTAAAGTAAAAAAGGAGTGTTAATATAATGTATAACTAAGAGTAGACAGAGGAAGGAGGAACAGATAAAAAGAACTAATGAATCATAAATTATTATTAGCACAGAATACTTTTCTGTTACTATTCAGGGCTTAATTCTAGGAAATATGAAATGTTCTTAACTGATGTATTCAACCAAAACATAAAAAATAAATTGTATTTAAAAAGGAAAGGCATACTATTAGTTTATGAGCATGACGCAAGCCTGTGATGCAAGAATTATAAACATTTGTGCTGTTTATTATTGAAGGAGGTTCTGACATGAATATACTGGCTTAAAGATTTCTTCTTTGACCTTGGATTGGGCCACTTCCTCTTTTCTGGCACTGAGGCAAAATGGTAGCCTTCACTCACCATGGCATACTTCAGATGTGTGTGTTTCCACCTCCAGAATTCTCAACAATGCCTTGTTAGCTTGAGCATTCTGGGGAATTTCACAGATGTAGGGGGAGACCAAAGATGCAGTATTGTGTGGTATGCTGTTGTTCAGAATTAATTGGTTCTTTCATGTAAAAATTCATTATCAAGACATCATAGTCTAGCAGAGAGTCTGCAGTGGAATGCAAGCTAAGCAAAATGAGAGAAAACCATTTTCTTTTTGATTAGATGCCACTTAAGACAGCTAGCAATTCCTTGATCTGCCTTTTGTCTGACCAAGAACACCTCTGCCTAATATTATCAATAATAGCTACAAGAAGAAAAGTTAACTGTAAAAACTATTTCAGAGTCTGATGGTTTTCATTCTGTGAAGACTTTATTCAAAAAAGTACTATAATGTCTTCATTAACCAAATATGATGATTGCCCAATTATATTCCTTTGTCCTCCTCTCAGAAGAAATGAATCAGACTCTGCTATACGCTCAAGAATGTTCAATATATTTCAAAGATGGTCAGAAGGGTGATAATTCAGTGTCTAGTGACTGGAATTTCAATTATCTATTGGGACACTATAGCTCCTAGAACAAACAATCACAAAACAGCAGTCAAAAGGAACAGAAAACTCTTCTTCAGTGATGCCACCCTATAGCTACCTGGATTTTTGTAGCCCAGTTATGTAGCTGTACCAAAATACACCAGAATTATAGCAAAATACATACCAGAAGTACATTTGATTGTTGGTGATGTCACTAAGTCGTAATACTGAGATTTCAAAGAGATTGTTATTGTTTAGGTTCTGCTTGAAAAATACTAATTGTAAATATCATAATTTGGCTCCCAAAACAGAGAAGAAAATCATTTTCACTCTGCAGTTTTCTTGGCTCCTTCTCCCACTTCAGCCCCTGCATTCCTAAAAAGTCATTTATAAAAGTCAAGGGACCATCTGTATTTGATAAGACTGCTCTGCAGAAGAGAAAGGACTTTTTATTGTTATACATATTTGATTTCAAGCCAGTATTTCTTTTGGTGAGCAACATTAGTTTTATGGCAGAGCTACCATTTTGCTCCCCCCAAAATTGTCTGCTTGATTCACGATGTATCCAATTTAAAAAGTCAGAGATCAGTTAAAAGGAGAACCAACAATCTGGAGAGCTGTTGAAAGCAGAACAGACAATACCGGCCTAGCTGGATCCATAACCTAGCCTGGTTTTAGAAATATTCTCTGCTGAGCCACCTCTAGTTAAATATTTGCTGGAGGCCCGAATTAGTTCTAGGGATCACTACTATGACAACAGGAAGTTTTGCTGTTTTCAATTACTCAAGTTAACAGATACAATTACTCTGCAATTTTTCAACATGATCCACTAATTTGTTGTCTTCTCCAGATATACTTCATTGAAATTCCCACTGGAATTATGAAAACAGTATATATGAAAATGCCAGGCTGAAAATGATTGCTGAGGTCACCCAATGTAGACACTCTGCAGATGTGCAGATCGTAACTGCCTGAATTCCCTAGCCACTGAGAATTCTGAGAGCTGAAATGTGCGCATTTGAGTCTTCAGAAAAGTTAGCATAAATATACAACTTAGAAAAAATATATATTTTTATTAAATCAGCCAGTTTTTTACATGAAATTTGCCAAAGAGAATTATTACAGTAAAAATTAGACATGGAATCACTTCTTTATAACAATGTTGAATACTGAACACATTTATTTCTATGTAAAAATTCCCATACCTATTTCTTACTTTTAGCCCTTTCTCTTTTCAATACACTTTTTGGCACAAGAAGGTGGAATAAAGGTCAAATATATAAATGTCTATTTTGACAACAGGTGTTTAACTTGTTGCCCAATATACTATAAACTATGGACTTTTCCATCAAGGAATTCTTCTACTATACAGTCAGGAGCACCAAAGTGCTTCTGGATTGAACGTATTGAACGGTGATGTCACCATTGCTTGGGGGAACGGTGGCAATGGAGACTACTTTCACATCCGCATAAACTTGGCCACCAAAGTGGTATTCATGTATCTACACCTGGTCGCCCTCTTTTAAACTGCTGGTTTGGCAGGAACTGGAGCATGTGGTAGGAGCTCATCCCATCCTGCAGCAGCAACTGGGTCTCAAACATGAGTCTGGTAATTGTCAGCCCAGCATTCTAAACTCATCAGCTACTGCGCTTCCTAAGAAATTTTCCTGAAGGTTCAGTTCATGTCTCAGGTACATAAACTGATAAATAAACTGAGGACAATCCACAAAGGTTGACAGAGTCACTGATGGCAAGATACAGAATATAATTTTTATAAATAAATAAGATAGACAAACTTACTTTGATTTTTGTAAACAGAATTTAACACTTCCTTTCTGGTTAAATCAATTGAAGTGAGAGAACTTTACACACATCTACTTGGTAGTAAAACCATTTCAAACAATAAGAGGTCTTTGTACTAACGTCTTACTGGATTTTAACCCAACTATACCATTACAAAGATCTGAAAAATAATGCCTAGGTTTTTAATGCCTAGGTTATAGGGAGAGGATATTCCCAGAAAACCTACCCAGTAGAATTACTTTTCAAAAATCAAAAAAACATTTTATCAAAAACCACATTGTCTGCATTAATGCACGCCAGTTATGGTAGGCTGATCCTTGCATGGTGCAAGTTTACACCTGAGCTCTTTTAATTTAAGCAATTCCACCTTGTTAACATAGTTGAGAAACCTTTAGCAAGAAACCCCCACATCCAAAATGTACACAAAACCTTCCTCCCCACTCACTGCTACATTTCTCAAATAAGGCAATATGCTGAGAGCCATGAAATTGCCCCTGCAGATTTACAGAGCCTTTACTCTCATTAGTATATTTAAACGTATTAAATAGTGCACACGGTACATTTTCCAAGTCGCAAACAGCAAAAGCTGCTAGATAATTCTATAAAGACAACATTGGACATATGGCACTTTATAAAACCCAGTGCAATTGGAATATGGAGTAGAGAGGAGATTAAATAAACAGACTTGACTTGAACCACAGAAAAGCAGAGGCCTGTAATTATTATTATTACATTACAATTGCCTCAAGTGGTTTATCAAACTGAAGCAGGGATTCAAGTCCCTAACAAAAGTTTTGACAAGCAGATGAATCAGAAAGGAACGAGAAGGAAAAACTCCACATTATGCAGTAACATGTCCCTTTTGTTGTTAAAACCACAGGCTGGAAAAAGTTGAAGAACTGGAAGTCAGTTGAAGCACTGAAATTTATCTCACAGCCCTGTATAATACACATTCTTCTACTGCAAATATGGGACACTGTTTGGAAGGGAGTGAAAAAGAGCAGCAGAAATTAGGATAATGGCAAAAAGACAGAGGACAAAAAAAGAGTTAAAAGGCTCTGCCCTGCAATTCTGTTCCTCTGTTCGAATCACACCCTTCTTAAACAAGTTTTTCCTGTTTAGAGGGACATCATGCACTTGTACATAACATGCATTCTGGCCCTTCAATTCCAGTCAAATAAATAGCACTTCCTTTGTTTTTACAGTGGAATGTTCCTAGGAAAAAAATACTTGCAAGTGAAACTTACCAGATCTGGATTTAATGATGTTGCTAAATTCATTGTTACCTCCCTCAGATTCTTTATCAATGTCCAAAACTTTGGCCATCCTTTTTTCTCCCAGTTCAAAATCACGATATAGAATTATTTAAAATCTCTGCATGCTGAACTCACACTCTTGGCTGTTATGAAATTAATATCTGAAATGTAAACACACATGCAAAAAACATAAATATACTTATTTTGGAACTACGTACCGTATTTACTGTATTCCATATACATTCTAATGCAACATATAGAGTGTATTTGTACACAATTATTTCTCTGAATGGAGTCCAGTGGATAATTCTATAAAAGTATAGACAAACGTGCAACCTTGCACTTTTTCTTATCACTAGCACTGTATGTCTATAGACCAGAAAACTGTCTAGAGTGGCAGGATTGATTCCTTACTAACAAAATGTTGCAAAGAAAGCACTTTGCTCTCTATCCCAAAGTCTGTCTGGAGGAGTTTGGATAACTCTTGCAAGATTATTTTGGGGGATATTAGTTAACTAAACACTAGTTATCAACCCTACATTTGTTCATTTATTTATTAAACTCTATAAAATAGGAGTTATATACACTAGCAAAGGCACAATGCATGATTAATACTTTTCTGCAAGGGCTCAGAATCGATTCTACACCACATGTTTATACAACTACACCTTGTAAAGTTCAGTGGGGCTGGGAATAGAGTGGAGAATTTCTGGGGGTAATTTAAGTCATACTAGGAATAAAAACATGAATCAGGAGATCTCTACTAATATAAGCATATAACTACAATGGGAAACAGCAAACAGATCAAATAGTAAGATATGAAAATAATGTTTAAGATAGGGAAATTTTATTTAGACTTTTATTCAGCTCATGATCATTTCCGCTACCAATCAGATTTTGCACATAGCACAGAACTTGGTTTCCATCCAATTTACTTTTCAGCCCTTTCCAGTTCTGCAAGCAACCGGTGCGTGCACACACTCTTTCTTCTACAAGCACACAGCATGTAATGGATACTCCAGTTGCTCATTCAAATGTATCACTGTGACTTTCTTCCAGAAAGTATTTTAAAGTGTCCTCCCCTCAAAATTAGCAACAGAGCCAAACTCCTACTCAAATTATTATTTTGCCTTCCCCTCAAACAGAAGCCCACTTCAACAAGCAAGTTAATGCCTACACAGGTTCCAGCCTACTTGCAAGCAGAACTTGCAAGGATTTTAAATTAGAAAACAGCAACAAAGATTAGGTCATCCTATTCTTCCTTAAAATAACCAGTGACTATCCCCCAAAAAAACCTCCAGATATGCATCAGGAAGGAGGTGGACTAAGATGGATGATAAAGAGGATTGCAATTACTTTCCGCTTCAAGTGAAAGCAACAGCTGTTTTCTTCACTCACTTTACAGTGCCTTCCCCAATCTGGTGCGCTCCAGAATTTTGGGAACTGAAGTCAAAAAAATCTGGAGGAAATTCTGGAGAAATCTTGGGGAAGGCTGCAATACAACTTGATCACAAACAGAAGCAGCACTTCCTAATATATTAAAGCAATTCAGGAAATATCAATGACATAGCTAAGGTTAAGCCTCAGGACTGTTACCTATCCCTTCCCCCACCCTCAATGCATGCAAATGCTGTTATTGTGAGACCTGATAAATATTTCAGAGTAGTTTTCACATGCCAAGAAATCTAAAAGTTAGTGGGACAAGAAATCGATTTGCAGAAATGTACTATGTATCAAGAGGTTAATAGAGGTCACCTCTCCCCAGCTTTCAAAAAAAAAACTTTAAAGAGATCCATAAAGTCAGCAGGAGTTAAACTTGGATCAACTAACTTTATCTAGCATAAAACACAACTAACTTTATCTAGCATAAAACACAACCCAATGAAAGCTATTTGCATTTTTTTTTAAGGCGACAAAAATCTGGGCATGACTTGGTGGCAGCAAAGAGATTATTTAGTGCTGACTAGCGGCTGCCCGGAGTTTTACAGGTTGCATTTGGTAGTCAGTCTCCAACATCCATCCCCAATACTCCGGGTAGGTAAAAAAATCCCAGAAAATGTCCTCAAATGGAAGAGTTCCCTAGATCATTCTAAATAAAACATGTATCAGCAGGAAGTTAGATCGCTAAACTTTATGCCAAAGGGAAGGGGGCCTTTTGATGAGTTACATTGTTTAGTTGCGTGCATCCAAAAGGTTCCTTCTCAAAGATAACAAACAACCTAAAGATCTCCCCTCTTTCATTTGCTGCAAGGAAGCCAGGGTGAGGAGGGGTGGGGGAAGAAATTCCAAACAATCAAAAGAGTCAGAGAAGTTCTTAAAAGGAGCGCTGGAACCGACTCAGTAAGCCAAATTAATAATAAAAGTGCCGTTCCCACGTGGAGCAAAACTTTTCCACAAAAGTTGTCACTTGGCAGCGAAATCCTCCAACCTCTGGCTTTACTCTAAGCGAAGATAACTCACCCCCGGTAGCAATTCCTCAACGAAATTGCCCCAAACCGAGAATCAATTACCGTAACGACGGCGGGAGAGAAGTCGGGAAGAGAGCACTGGATTCTTCGGGTGCCCTTTTGTCCTCCCAGCCCTCCGCCTGGAGGAATCGCATTGCTTTTATTTTTTGTTCTCCTTTCCCTTCACCGTCAATTATTTACCAGCTTACCTGCGGGAGGGTGAGGGGAGGAGGAGGAGGCGGCAGAGACTTTGAAGTGCGCCGGACGGTCGATCCTCCGTGGCGGTTTTGCTGCGGCTTCCCCACGAACCGTCCCAAAGAAACCCAAAGCGCTCCCCTCCCCGGAGAAGCAACCGCCTCAGGCAAACCGCCCCCGCCGCAGCTTCTTAAACAAGTCGCTAAAAAGCAAAGCCAACTTTCGCCCGACGCGCTCGGCTGCTCTTTCGTTTGCAGCCCCGAGAACCCTTTGGCCGCTCCGCTTCCACCGGCTGCTAAGGAGGGAAGGAAGGAAGGAGGGAGGGAAGCGCCTTTCTCTCTCACCAGCCGGGCAAGCTCAACTTTAGAAGAAGGGGGCGGTGGCGACGGGGCGGTCCCTCGGCTCGTCCCGGCCTTTCCCCGGGACTCCTCCTTTGTTATTAGGTGAGAGTAGAGCTGGGCAAGGAAAGGGAAGCGGAGGGACGGGGGGAACTCCGCGAAAAGTTATCTCGGCTTCGGCCCCGGCTGCCTCTGCTGCCAAGGGAAAGGGAGGCGTGTGGTAACTGACGGAGGCGAAGAACCTCCGCCCGCACTCCGGGCATTGAACTCTTTCGGCGAACTTTCCGCTGCGCTGGGAAGTTTCCTTCTGCGCGGCCGCGCTCTTATTATCCCTTCGCTCACCCGCCCTGGTAGAGCAGAACCTCTCTCCGGCGGAGGGAGGTGGCGTGACAGGAGCCACGTGACCGCTTGCCTTGTCAATCACCCGGGCCGCTGGCCTTTTCCTTTGCCGAAGGTGCTGCTGCTGGTCCGAAGTCGACGTCATCAAGCCCTACCAGGAGGGAAAGCAATACACACACTCTCACTCTCTCCCTCCCTCTCCCTCCTTCTCTCTCCCTCTCTCCCTCTCCTTCCCTCCCTCCCTTTCCCTCCCTCCCTCCCTTTCCCTCCCTCTCCCTTCGTCTCTCTCTCTTTCTCTCTCTCTCTCTCTCTCTCTCTCTCACACACACACACACACAGAGACTCAGAGATTCTCTCTCTCTCTCTCTCTCTCACACACACACATATATTTATGTATGGTATTCAGCTTTGTTCGGGTATTTTCCCACGTCATTATAGTTGTGCTTTTAAAGTTATAGCAAGAATTTCGGCAGAATCTCATCTGGCTTCTGTACAATACAGGCTTCTGTATTGTGTTCCTCTGTGAGTCAGACTTTTACAGTTGTAAAAGTGTACTGTAACTGTAAAAGTCTGACTCACAGGCGAACACAATACAGAAGCCTGATGATGGCAGATGAGATTCTGCCGAAACATTGCTACAACTTTAAAAGCACAACTATAATTACATGGGAAAATACCCGAACAAAGTTGAATACCATACATGTAAGTACCCGTGAAAACTTAAGAAATTATATATATAGAAGAATAAGTACCCGCCTGGATGAACACAAAAATGCAGTCAAAAAGCTGGAACACACTTCCTCACTAGTCCAACACATGGAAGCTACAGGTCATAGCATCAACTTCAATGGCACCAAAACCCTGGCCACTATGGAAAACCCTAGCCACAGAGTCATCAGAGAAGCCATAGAGATTGAAAAAAGACCAGAAAGCATGAACAGAAGAGATGATTCCACCAGGCTGTCAATCATTTGGAAGCCTGCACTCACAAACAAAAAAATCTCCACACCACAAGCCAGGCAAACACCTGGGCACAAACAGATCCCCTCTGATACCTCCAGCTCAAACACACCCCAACCAGGCACCCAGATGAAACCCAGCTTCCTAACTAATGATAGCCGTCCATTTACCCGAAGCCAAGCTGCACTAAAGGCCTCCATTAAAGTAACACAATGCTGCCAGCCAATCAAGATACAAAAAGAGCCAAAAAACAGACAGAAGATATCAGAGACACCCATCAAGCAGAACACAGCAAACTCCGAGACCAATAAACACAGACCAAGACTCCCAACCAATCAGGATGAAGAAAAAACCATTCTGGCACAGCAATAGGCTGCCCCAAATTTAAATCTGAAACCACTGTAAAAGTCTGACCCACAGACGGACACAATACAGAAGCCTGATGATGGCAGATGAGATTCTGCTGAAACGTTGCTACAACTTTAAAAGAACTACAATGACGTGGGAAAATACCCGAACCAAGCCGAACACCATATACATATACATATATACATACATACATATACATATACATATACATATACATACACACACACACACACACACACACACACACACACACACACACAAGCCCTGCCAGGAGGGAAAGCTACACACAGACACAGAGCCTCCCTTTCCCTCTCTCTCTCTCACACACACAGACACACACAAGCCCTGCCAGGAAGGAAAGCTACACACAGACACAAAGACTCCCTCTCTCTCTCTCCCTCCCTCCCTCACACACACACAGATAGATGACTCTGGAAAACTAAAAACCAAGAAAAGATGAGCCTGACCAGCCCTTGGACGGGAGACCACTAAGAAATCCCAGGTCTTGTAGGCAAGATTGGGAAGTCTAACGTCCAGGGAAAAGTCCCAAAGGTGCTTTTTCAAGAGGCAACTGGACTTTCTGGTTTCTCTTTGAAGACGTTTTTGCTTCTCCATCCAAGAGGCTTCTTCATCTCTGCAAGGAGTATAAATCCTTCCATTCCCCACTGTTAGGAATAACATTGGTTACCTAACTTAGTTTGACGATATTACATAGGTGATGATATTACATAGGTGACGATATTACATAGGAATCTCCTCCTTTTCAGTTGAGGACTACCTGTAGAATCTTGCAGGTTTGAAAATACTGTATAAATATCCAGCCATCTCTTTTCTCAACCATAAGATAAGAGGGGATCCTTTCTGGATTTTTTTTTTTGGCTTGTTATGCAGCTGCAGGCTCACTCCCAGCCCCGTCACCCCACTATCTGATCTTTCCTAGGCAGTATGTTTTACCCCATCCCCCAGGGTCTTTCACACATACTATTACAACAACTCAGTACAGTACCTCTATTAAATCAAAGTCTTAAAAATAGAAGATGAAATTATAGTTTCATTTGATGTCACAGAAGTCTTCACTTCCATAGATAAAGAACTAATAAAAGAATCCATGCAGGATACATATCTGACCTTACCAAATGCATTTATGATTGAAATACCAAGAATCATGGACCTCATCAACCACTGTCTTACTATTTTCAGTTTGATAGACAAATGTATCAATAAATCAGATGAACACCCATGGAATCACAATTCTCACAATTCATAACACAGACCATGGTGCAGCGTCTAGAAACTACCACACTCTCATACCTACAACCAAAAGTATGGACCCAGTATGTAGATGATACCTTCATCATAATAGAAAAGCAATTGGAGAAGATTCATCAAGCTCAAAATGGGACAGTTGTTAAGTGAGTTGTGCCTCATTTTAAAACTTTTTTGCCACTGTTATTAAACAAATGACCTTGTTAAGTGAATCATGCAGTCGTTAAGTGAAACTGGTTTCTCCCATTGGCTTGACTTGTCAGAAGCCAGCTGGGAAGTTTCCAATGGTGATCACATGACCCTGGAGTAATGCAATTGTCATAAATATATGTCAATTGCCAAGCAACCAAATGTTGATCACATGACTGTGGGGAATGCTGCAAAAGTCATAATGTGAAAAATGGTCGTAAGTCATTTTTTTCAACTTCAGACAGTCACTAAACCAATGGTTATAAGCCGAGAACTATCCGCATCAACTACAACTTCAAAGCACTAAAATTCACAAAGAAAGAAAGAAAACAACATGCTACCCTTCCTGGATATCCTTGTCAGCAGAGGAGATGATGGCAAATCAGAAATACAAATCTGTCAAAAAAATAACCCACGCTAACCAAGTGCTTCACTACCAAAGTAGTAAACAATCTCCCACAAGAGGAGCTGTGTAAGAACATACAATATCTTCCAACAAAATAGATACAGGTAATCCTCAACTTGTGGCAATTCTTTCAGTGACCATTTGAAATTACAATGGCACTGAATGAATTTACAAATTTTATCCAAAGTAAAATTGCTGCAGTGCCCTTGCAGTCTTGTGAACAAAATTTGAGTGCTTTGGCAATCCATCTGCCTTTATAACTGACATGGCTGAGGGATCTGATCGCCCCTCTGTTACTAGAAGGACATTGTTGAGGATGAGAATGCCTAAGCGGAGGTTGCTGGAGAATAATAACACACTGTGTAAAAGTGGAGAGACGCAGAGTCTGGCCCACTTGTTGGACTGTGAATTACTACAGAAGTATCTGCTGAAAGTGGTTTGTTTCTGGCCAACGATAAAGCCAAAAAGGTGTCCTCGTTTTGGTAGTTTAAGGTTGGATCTGGACACAAATAAATAAATAAAAACTGGCCACAGGGATACTCTAGCAATCCCCTGAAGGCTGTGAGGTGGGAGAAGCCTCATTCTAATTAAGATAGAATCTGGGAAAATAAAGCTATGTCTCTGGAAAGGAAAGCCTCACTGGAATGTAAATGACACCTATACAGGTAGTCCTCAACTTACAAGTGTTTATTTAGTCATCTGACTGGATGGTGGGGAATGGAAATCCAAAAAAAAAAAAGAGACAGCCATGACTTGGATGACTGAGAATCTCCATAGACATCTCTGAAAAAGTGACTTATGACCGGTTTTTACACTTACCACCATTATAGCTTCCCCATGATCATGTGATCAAAATTCAGATGCTTGGCAACTGACTCATATTTATGACAGTTGCAGTGTCCCAGGGTCATGTGATAACTTTTTGCAACCTTCTGACAAGCAATATCTGTGGGGAAGGCAGTTTTACTTAACAACTGTGTTATTAATTTAACAAGGGCAATGAGTCGCTTAACAACTGTGGCAAAAAAGTCATAAAACGGGGCAAATCTCACTTAACAAATTCTCCCTTAGCAACAGAAATTTTGGGCTCAATTGTGATTGTAAATTGAGGACTACCTGTTAAGAAAATTGCAGTGGGTTTCAAGCAAAATGAGAAAATTTGCTGTACATCTCAAATTCTTCTATTTCTCCTTCCAAACAAAAATTTGCCTTTTGTACTATACTGTTGTGATGAACAA